CTGCGTTGCATCCGCGCCGAAGCTCGAGCAGAGGCGGCGAGAAAGCGCGCCGGGAGTTGTGCGCCTGGCGAGCGACAGAAAGGTCAGGCAGTGGGCAGGGGTCGCGGCGACAACAAGTGGCGTCGAAGATGCACCCGCGAGGGGGGGGGGGGCGTTCGTTCCGCTCGTATTCCTGAGCGGCCGTGACAGGAGGGCGCGGCCTCTGGGCGCGACTTCCCCGGGGCCGCGCCTGCGGCCGATGGCGGGGCGCTTCCGGATGGGTTCGACGTTCAGTTCAGGGGCCGCGTGGCGCTCGGAGGAGGCGCGGCCGTGGCGCCCGCGCAGCGTTCGGCGCCGCGCCCGCCACCCCCGCCGTCTTTGAGAGGCCCCGAGAGGGAGTGCTGCAGTCAGGGGCGAAGTGAGGCAGCGAGATGCGCGCTTCGCCTGCCAGGAAGGAGCGGTGTCGCGTCGGTCGCTCGCTCTTCCAATCAATTTAGATTCCCCCCCTTAGGCCGCGTGGTCGGTTTCGTCGCATTCGCTTGCTGGGCCGCTTCTTCTCAGAAGGAGGGCCAAGTCCCGGCGGCGGAGTAGATGGGTCAGTATGGGGCCGGACCCCGATCTCGGCCGTGGGCGCAGGCGCGGCAAACGCCCTGGGCGTCGAATTGTTTTCCGAAGGTCATAGAGACCCTGAGGAGGATCGTTTTTTCCATGTCTTTCTCCAGTAGGGGGCGGCAGCAATAGGGAAGTCGCATCGCTGTCCGAATAGTTCTGTTTGAAACCTTAGACCTCAAACATGAAATGTGTCGCATCTGGACTGAATGGGGGAAGGGTGCTGCGGCTCCTTGCTTTAAGGGCCTCGTGGGATTCGGGTCGATGAGGTTCATCGCCGACGCGGGGCGCGGCCGCGGCCCAGTTGCAATGGGGTTCGCTTTAGAGGTGGGCGCTGCGAGACGCGCGGCCCCCCTTAGGGCGCCGATGATCTCGAGCGCGGCTGGGTGGGGGGGGGGTCGGGCCCGCGCGGCCGCGGGCGCGGCTTGCCGCGAGCTCCCAGGATGAAGCTCAGAGTCGATCGTGATGCCTGGTATTCCTAGCGGTGGCGGTGCATGTCTAGATGTGGCTTCGCGCGGGGCATCTGGGAGTCTCCGCGCCCTGAACTGCCGAGTGGACAGAGAAAGCATCTCGTAGTTGAAGGCAAGATGCCGCACCTGGCCGTCGCGGGCAACGGAGTGCCTGGTCGAGCGAGCGTGGCCGTCGCGCGCGGATGTGATTTCATGCGGTGGAGCCCCAGATGGGGCTGCGAAGTGCGTGGGGTGCGCGCCGAAATGGATTGCGCGAGCGCGCGTGGACCTTGCCGCTGGGGCCTTCGGCGGAACTCCCTGTGGGGCCGCGAAGCGTGCGAATGGCGCGCCGGCATGGATCGCGCGGGCGCGCGCGCATCTTGCCTCGAGCGGCGCGTCGAAGTGGGCCGCGCGGACACGTGTGAACCTTGCCGCTGGGCCTTCGGTGGATCTCCCCATGGGGCCACGAAGCGCGCGAGCGGCGTGCCGAGGTGGGTCGCGCGGACGCGCGTGGCGCCCGCCTTTCGTCGGAGCTCCCTATGGGGCAGCGAAAGGTGCGGGGGCCTGACGAAATGTGTCGCGCAGACCGCTGGGGCCTTCGGCGGAGTCAACTACGGGGCCGCGACGCGCGTGGAGGGCGCGCCGAACTTGGCGTCGCGGACGCATGTAAACCCCGCCGCTGGGGCCATACTTGGATGGATCTCCTTATTGGGCAACGGCACGCGTGAGGGGTGTGCATAAATATGTCGCGCGGGCGCATGTAATCCCTGCCGCTTGGGCGTTCGGTGGAGCTCCAGATCGGGTCGCGAAGTGTGTGAAGTGCGTGCCGAAATTGGTTGCGCGAGAGCATGTGGGCCCTGCCGCTGCGGCCCTCGGCGGAACTCCCTGTAGGGCCGCGAAGCGTGCGATCGGCGTGCCGGCATGGATCGCGCGGGCGCGTGTAAACCTTGCTTCGAATGGCGAGCCCAAGAGGGCCGCGCGGGCGCATGTAAACCTCGCCAGTGGGGCCTTCGGTGGATCTCCTTGCGGGGCCACGAGGCGCGTCAGGGGCGTGCCGTGATGGGTCGCGCGGGCGCATGTGAAACCCGCCCGCTGGGGCTTTCATCGGAGCTCCTTCTGGGGCCACGAAGCGAGTGGGAGGCCAGCCGGCGTGTCGCGCGGACGCATGTTAACATTGCCAGTGGGGCTTTCGCTGGAAATCCCTATGGTGCCGTGAAACGCGTGAGGGGCGTGCCGACGTTGACCGCGCGGGCGCACGTAAGCCTTGTCATTGGCGCCTTCGGTGGAGCTCCCAATGGGGCCACGAAGCGCGTGAGGGGCGCGTGCGGGCCCTGTCACTGGAGCCTTCGGTTAAGCCGCGCAGCGTGTGAGGGGTGTGCCGAAATTCGTCGTGCAAGCGCATGTAAACCTTGCCGCGGGGGCTTCTGGTGGAGCTCTTTTTCGGGCCGCGAAACGTGTTAGGGGCGTGCCGAAATGGGTCGCGCGGTCGCATGTAAACGTCGCCGTTGGGGCCTTCGGTGGGGCCCCCGATGGGTCCACGAAGCGTGTGAGGGGTGTGCCGAGACCCTGCCGCTGGCCACTTCGGTGGAGCTCCCTATGGGGAAATGGAGCGCGTCAGGGGTTTGCCCAAGTATGTTGCGCGGACGCATGCACACCTTGCCGCTGGGGCCTCGGTTGAGTTTCTTGTGGGGCCACGAAGCGTGTGAGGGGTGCCGAGGTGTGTCGCGCTGGCGCATGTAAGCCCTGCAAGTGGGGTTTCCAGTGGAGCGGAGCTCCCTGTGTGGCCACGGAACGTGTGAGGGGTGTGCCGCACTGGGTCGCACTGGGTCGCGCGGAAAACTATGCCAAGTGGGCCGTTGGTGGAGTTCCTTGTGGGGCCACGAAGCGTGTGAGGGGACTGCCGGAATGGGCCGCGCGGGCGCATGTAAACCCACCCTGCAGGTACGGCCTTCGGTGGGGCACTTCGGTGGGCCGCGAAGCGTGTGAGGGGCGTGCCAAGATGGATCGCGCGGACGCATGTACACCTCGCCACTGGAGCCTTCGGTGGAGCACATCATGGGGCCACGAAGCGTGTGAGTGGTGTGCCGAAATCGGTCGCGCGGGCGTATATAAGCCCCGCCATCGTTCTTCGGTGGGGCTTCCAATGGAGCCACGAAACGTGTGAGGGGTGTGCCGAAATGGAACGCGCGGGCGCATGTAAACGCTGCCAATGGGGCCACGAAGTATGTGCGGTATGTGCCGAGTTAGGTCGCGCGGGCGCATGTAAACGCTACCAGTGAAGCCTCTGGTGGAGCTCCCATTTGGGCCACGAAACGTAAGAGTAGCGTGCCGAGCCAGGTCGCGCGGGCGCATGTTACGTAAACCCTGCCGCTGTGGCAGGCAGAGGGAGGAGGAGGAGGAGGAGGAGGAGGAGGAGGAGGAGGAGGAGGAGGAGGAGGAGGAGGAGGAGGAGGAGCAGGAGCAGGAGCAGGAGCAGGAGCAGGAGCAGGGGGAGGAGGGGAGATGTGCAGGAGGACGGAGTAGGGACGTCCTTGAGTTCTCTGTTTTTCTTGGCTTTTTGGAGAAAGGCCCTCGTCGCCACGGCTGGACGCCTTCAGAAATCCTGGTCAGAACGCGTCCCTGGAGAGGTCTGGAGGTCGCTGTTGAAGAGGGTTGGAAGAGGAGGGTGTGGAGGAGGCAGCGTTCTCGGGTGGTTAGACGGGTTTCCGGAGCGTCTCGGAAGTTCTTGGCGGTTCTGCGGGGTATTCCAGGACCTGTTCGAGGCTCCCAGGGAACTGCGGAGGTTTTCGGAGGATTGTTCCAAGAAGGGGAGAGGGAGGGCAAGGGGACGGGGGATGGGAAGGATGAGACGGGAGAAGGGAAGGAGACAATCTAGGTACGCTCGCGCCATATTCGACATCTTATCCTTTCCTCCCATTCCTTCCCGTTGCGTTGATTTTTATCTATCCGCGGACGCGTGCCATAGCTGACCTGGAACTTCACGTAGGACCCCATCATGTTCATGTGCAACCAGCGAATATGTGGCCTCTAGGACATGTGGGACATCTGAGACATGTGGGGCCTGCGGAGCAGGTGGGAAGTGTGGATCTGTGGGGCCTGTGGGACCTGCGGGACTTGTGGGACCTTTGCGACCTAGGAGCCTCTGTGGGCCTGTGAGACCTGCGACTCCGGTGGGACATGTGGGACCTGTTGGACCTGTGCGACCTGTGCGTGGGGCCTGTGAGACCTGCGACACCTGAGGGACCTGCGGGACTTGTGAGACTTGCGGCACCAGCGGGACGTGTGCGTCCTGTCGGACTTGGGGACCTGGACCTCTTTGGGACTCGTGAGACATGCAACACCGGTGGGACTTGTAGGACCTGCGGGACCTGTTGGGCCCGCGGGACTTGTGGGGCCTGCGATACTTGCGATACCTGTGGGACCTGTGGAACCGGTCAGACCTGTGGTACCTGTGGGACCTGCGGGATGCTCTGTGACACCTGTGGGGGGGGTTTTGTGGGACCTGTGGGACCTGGGGGGCCCGCGAGACCTGCGAGTCCCGTGGGACCTGCGAGACCTGCAGGATTCAGAAAAGTGGCCCGCGCTGCAGCGAGAGCAACGGAGTAAAACGCACTAATCAAACACCGAAGACAATCGGAGTGAAACGCACATATGATATAATCCCCTTGTGAGATTCGATGTGTGACAACACAGTGTAGTCAAGACGCTGAAATAAGGACCGCTTCGGGCTCAGAAGGGGCCAGGGGTCTCTGACCGTTCCCTAGGTCTATATAGTGGAACCTGTCGGTGGCCCAGGCCCGCCGTGGCCAGACAGGCCGCTTCGTTCCTTGTGCTGCGTTCTGTATGGTACTGCGACGACTGTACGCGGAGAGGGCCCAACACCCCCGGACAGAGTCAGGGGAGAGAGGAGTGTAGCATTCGTACTGTGGAACTGTGGAGAGAGCGTGGGAATCGTGTGCTCAGGACTCCTCGCATACAGTTTCGGCCTGCGCCACGCCGTGGACGCCGACCACATTGCAGCTATCGACAACGTGACCCGGAAGCTCGCGAGGGCCGGGGGATCGCCACCGGCCACGGTCGGCCTCTTCTTCGCTCTGGGCCACTCGCTGGTCGTCACGCTGATGTGTGCCCTGGTGGTCGTCGGGGGGGACTACATGGAGGGCCACCTCCAGAGCTTTGCGCGCGTTGGCGCGATACTCGGAGCATCGATCTCCGGGTCGTTCCTATCCCGACGCCTGCGGCAAGTTCCGCCACCGCGCCAGAGCAGCGCTTCGTGTGGCGACCCCCCGTGGAGCACCGCGCAGACGGATGGAGGGTGTGGCAGGGATCGCCCCCAGGCTTCGGGGAGCCGCGGCGGGTGCCGCGCCCTCCCGCATGTCCGAGAGAAGTCTGTTGCATGTGAGGTTTGGCTTCCCGAGCGGAAGGAACGTACCATGAAGGAGGGAGGAGCGGGAGGAGAACAAGGAGGACGGGCTACATGAGAGAGAGAGAGAGAGACAGAGACAGAGACAGAGAGCGAGAGAGGGGGAGGGGCGTCGTGGACTCCTCTTGGGGCATCTGGGTGCACGTTCTATGCCTTGAGGTGCTCTGGCGCAGGCCGTCGCGGCGGCTTCTACGGCTGTCATTGGGCCCTTCGGAGACAGCGTTCGCCGGGTGCCCGCCCGTGCCCGCTCCCTGCGCTGGTTGCGTTGCCTGGGTTTTCGCACACGCAGTGTTCAAATTTTCAATTCTTCGGGAGTGCAGGATCCTTTCAATTCTGAGTGTTCTATCCTGGGCCTCCTCCTGGCCACTGGGGCTCCAGGAGCAATCGGAAACGAGCACAGTCAAACATGAGCACGACCAGAAAGGAACGACGTGCAGCTGGCACGTGGGGCGGGCTGGACAGCGTGCACCACACGGGATGCGCCTCGCAGTCAGCACTCATACCTGACCCCGGGCTCAGGGCCCACAGGCCGCCCCCAGATGGGATGGGCACCAGGGCTCCTCAGGCTCCCTCACCCCCTTGATGGGATGGGAGGGGGGACGGCGACGACGAGCAAGACCACGACGACGGCGAGAACGACAGCGAAGACACACCCACAGGGAGGCGACGATGACGAAGACACCTCCCTGGTTGACCCTCTCACCACGGGCAGCGCAATGCAGTGGTGAGGCCACGGCCGATGATGCTTGGGGAACGAATCCCGCACGGACCCTGCGACCTCGATCTTGGAAAGCTCTCGGCAAAGGCAACGGGACGTCCTCCCTCCACCACGCCACGCCCACAGGGCCACGACTACGAGGGGGCGGACCCATCCCGCGGGCGGGTGGGGGGCCAGAAGGCATCAGCAAGGGGGAGGGGGCGGAGCCCTGGATCATGTACTGCACGACGCAGCTTGTTCCGCATAGACGAATGAAGCTCTACCTCATTCCGAGGTCAGACTTCAAGGTTGCCCTCGGGGAAGAGGCTTGTCGTGTTTATTCTGGACGGTCGTTCATCCGACACGAAATCATACCATCCATGCCACACGGGTATCCAATTCCCCTGTAAATGTCGCCTTGCGGTGCACACGCTTCGATCTAGCCAGCGCGTTTTGCAACAACCTCTATCACATAATGACATGCAGGCCGCACTCGCGGGCCCAAGAATGCGTGTGCCGAAATCATTACGAAGCCAGTTTTCGTACCAGCATTTCACGATCGAACTCTTGGAACAAATGTGAATCAATCACATGTTCTTCAAACCATGCCAGCTTTCCTGCACGCGTACAGTTGCTAAACTCATAAGACATGTGGTGGGTCATGCCACCCGTGTCAAATACGACCATGCGGGCAACACGCGCGCGTCCCCACGCGTGCATGCCGAACTCAGTCCACAACCATCGAGCACTTGCTGATGTCGTAATTTCCATGGCGCACTTGCTGAAGTCGTAATTCACAGATCACCCCGTTCACGCCCGGCAAGAAGTACCATGCTGGCCACACGCGAGCATCCCCGCGCGCGCATGTCGAAATCCGCCATATGCCATTTGTTGTTTGACGCATTTTGAGCGGTTTTTGCCGCACACATTGACACAACGGGTGTTTTAGTGCGGCAGTGCGAAGTCTTGCATTGTTCCAAACCGTTGCGGGTTGGTGGGTGGGTGGGGCGTTTGTTCGAACAGCGGAGAATTAACAGTTACGAGATATTCACATTCATTGTCCTTTCAAAAGAAGAACAGGCTCTACCACCCTCCCCCAGGGGTCAACGCCCCCCCTGGGACACTGCAAGTGACAAATGATTCTGCCTCGCCGTTCATATCCAATATGAATTCATACCATCCCAGTGCGACCGGTATCGACCCCTCCCCACATCCTTGTCTTGGAGGGTGGAAGTGGGGGTCGAGCGCAGGGTCCCGACAATGGTGTCTCTATGGGCCATGCATGGGCGATGCATCCTCAATTGCTGTGTTCGGCGGGGGTTCCAATTGAAGCTCCCCGCCTGCACACATGCGCGAGACTTGAGGATAAACGAAGCAAGGAGGCGGGGGGCTCGGGAAAGGCGACAAAAGCAACGTGCGCTGAGGGCGCATAAATATGAGGTTGGGAAAAACGAAAGCGGTGAGGTGAGTGTTAAAATCTGCCCAGCAAATCTGACATGCGGAACACTGCGACTCACCTTTGGGGATCCTGAGGGCCAGGGCAACATGTGAAATCGCATTGCGGGGAAAAGCAACATGTGGATTTACATTCTGGAAAAAGGGAAGTGTAAATTTATATTTTGGAAAACAGGAACATGTGAATTCACACATTGGAAGTTTGAACGCGAAACTTTATTAAGGGGCCAATATGTGAATTCATATTTCGGGAAAAAAGAAAATGTGAATTTACATTTTGAAAGAAAGGAAAATGTGAATTCACATTTTGGGATAATCGCGGGTCCCATTCCAAGTCTGTTTTGGGGGTCGACAAGTCTTCGTTTGGGAACATACGCGATCATCCATAGCACAATCAAGACACTTGCATTCCACTTCGCCGCCCCACGCGCGATATGCAAGAACGCCCGCACGTATGAACGATACCTGATGGACGGCGCGTGTGCCTGCGCGGGCAACGCGCGGGCACGAACGACTGGCCCTCCATGGCCGCCAACATTGGATGCCAATCGTACCCGATCACATACATGAGCGATACATTGAGCATACATGGGCCATTCAGCCCTCATTGAAGACCCCCTGTTGCAGACCCCCTCTTTCGCCAATCTTTATTACGCGCGCACACTTGAGTACGAATCGCAACATATTTGTCCAAGAACCCCTTGCAAGAGAATACACAACGTCCACAAGCGCGCACGTGTCGAAAATAACCCAACACACGAGTGTACAAATTTTTACAACAGTAGAGCATCAACCACCCTGAGGTGCGTTCGCCACAACTCTTGCAGATTTTCTACCCGCGCGCACTTGCTGAAGCCATATGAAAGACCATCTGATGTTTGCCATCTCTTCCAACACTTCATTCGCATTGCACCACGCGGAGCATCCACGTTGATCCAGGATGCGCCCAGTGACCGATCCCGTATCAAAGGATACCATGCTGGTCTCACGCACGCCCCGCCACGCGCGCGTGTCGAAATCTTCCAACACCATGGGATTTAGAAGCATGTCGAACTAGAGCCTTTTAGACACAAATGAAGTACCACATGGTTTTTAAGCAAGAGCGTACCATATCGATTGAGTTTCCGCGCGCGCACTTGCTCACCATCACCTCCATCAGCGCCATCGCATCACCGCCGTTATCGTTGTCGCCAGTCGCCGCCATTGCCGCCACCATCAGCCAATCACCGTCATGACCGACACATGGGCATCATCATCGTTATCGTCGTTACCAGTATCGGCGCCGTCATTGACCTCGCTGTCGTCATCTTCCTCGTGGTCACCACGTGACTCATTGAAACCGCTACTATCATCATCTTTGCCCCCGTTGCCGACATCAACATGACACTGCGCCTGTCTGAGTCACCGACTTGCACTGAAGCACCCGCGCGCCAGCCCGTCTTTTGAAACTCTCTGGGGGGGTCCCATGGGTAAGTAAACGCCATCGCGGCCGCATCGGTTGTGCTGAACCAGCTGGCCGCTCCGCGCGAGGGCTTGCACGCGTTAGCGCTGCCGCAGGGATGTGCCAGCCAGTGCCAAGTAGTAACCGCAATCGTGGCAGCATGGGTTGTGCAAAACATGGTGAGGGTGGGAGGGTGGGATGATTTGGGGCTGACGGCGCAAAGTTCTGCGAGGCAGGGTTGCAGTATAGTTTGCACCAGCTAGCTTGCACCACATAGCATGCACGGCATTATGTTGCATCGCATGGGCCATACGACGTAGGTGCGACTTCAGAGTTCAGGCAATTTGAGTATGTAGTTGCATAACTTTTCGCGTGCTCCCATGTACAGCTAATTTTACATTTCGTTCCACCTAGATTGCTGAGCATCTTGCATCACATAGCTTGTGTTACATAACAAATTTGGGGAACAGTTAATCAATCTGGGGGGACAGTTTACACATAGTCATTGCCTGCGTTGTAGTGCGCGCAAAACAAAGAAGACGAAAGGAAGGCGGGGCACACCGGACCGCCGGGGACGTCCCCGCGACCGCCCTGGCGCTCCGCGTGCAGGGTCGGAATCCTGCGCGCCCCCTCTTGGCGTCAGGCCACGCCTGTTACGCCCTACGAATTTGGCATAGATACAGACCGCGCTCAGGGACCACCCTCTGCGCACCCTCTCTTGGTCGCGAACGTACTACACCTGATTCGCCCTGCGTCCTGGAGTGAATCGAGACCACGCTCAGGGATCACTCCGTGCACACCCTTCCTCCTTGGTGCCGAGAACGCCGCGCCAGCCTTGCCCTGCGACCCTGGCGTGGACAGAATGCGCACTAGGGAACCAGCCTTTGCGCGCCCCTTCTGGTGCCGAGAGGGCTTCAGAGGGTGCTCCGAGATGGCCCCAGGTGCTTTACGATGGTCTCCAAGATGGCGCAAAATGGTCCAAGCTGGCTCAAGATTGCCTCCAAGTTACCTCCAAGGGGCCCCATGATGGCCCCAAGACGGGCCCAAGTGGCCGCGGGTCCAAGCGGCGCAGTTGCACGCGTACGAACGTACAGAGTCCCAGTAAGACGAAAACCACCTACTCGTCGACCGAAGTAGCCTGCACATCTGCACGCATACAGTTCATACGCATATACAAATGCATGCACGTGCGTGCGTGTGTATACACATGTATATGTTTACACACATACATGTGTGCATTCATGAATCGCATCGCTCGGTCCCCGTGGGATAGTTTACAGGGGAAACACTAAAAGCAAATCATTTTTCGGCGGCGAAATGATGGCAGTCGGGATGCGGGGTGGGGAGGGGGGCGTCATCATCATTTTTTTTATTATTATTATCAGGTTTTGGACATTATCTTTCACCACACAGGTTTTGCCATACATGTTGCACCACCCGCGTTGTATTACTTGAGTTGCACCACGTTGCACGCACGTCGATCGTGCAAGAAACCACTGTTTGAGGCCCACGCTGGGAAACGTACATCCGAATCGCCGACCCGTTTGCGATTATTACTCGCGCTCGCGCACCACCTCCCTGGAGGAAAAACATGTGGCACTGGTGAGGCACATTGGAATGGGGATCGGGTGCAAGCCTGTCATACATCTCAGGGGGAGCGAATATCACCTTGTCACCGCTCGCAGGAAAGCCCCTCGACGTGGCTGGATGCTTTTTATTTCACTCGTGTGCACGGCGCTCGAAGCCGAAGCAACTAGGTAGCTTGGTCGCTTCACGATTACGCCACTCATCTTGTCTTCGTACTGCTGTGTTCGTTCCCCCTTCTCCCTTCCATAATTGCGTCGGACAGAAGAGGTGGCGAACGTCACTTCGGTCCCCGCCCCTCCGCAGCCTCCTTGGACGTAACAAAGATGGTACCGGTGGAGCTTCCGTAGTAGGAAGGCACGGGCCTTTACAATTCGAGGGCTTGGGAAGATCACCCCTTTCCCATGTATCAGCCGGAGGGACCCATATGGTAGGGTAGGGCTGGTGAAGGATGGCATTGAAAAGAATGAGCCCAACTCCGTAACTCCGTATTTGCGAACGTCACCCCCGCTGCAACGCGGCCTTTCTGGTAGGGCCAGGCGTCGTGACACTAGACTCGCGGAGGGGGGCGGGCCAGCGCAGCGCGACACTGGAGAAGGCACGTGTGGTTCTACCGGCGCAAACCGGCACAACTCGCAGCATTTTCGAATCTCACCCACGTGCCATTGCGTTTTCCTGGAACGGGCAACTGTCGTATTTTTGGGGCTCGCGGAGTGGGGCTGACCAGCATGAGGAAGTCATGAAATGATAACAGTGGCGAATGGAGGGTGATGGGGAAGATGAGGATGAGAAGTTTCAGCTGTGTGTGTGTGTTCGAGAACTCCTAAGTCCTAGGAACAAAAACACGACTTGAGGTTCTGTATGTGTTTGCTGGCCTGAGAGCCTCTCTGGACGCTTCTCGGGGTCTCGAAAACTCACGAGTCTCGAGTCTTGAGGTGTGCTGGAGGCCTTTTGGTTATCGTCGAGTTCTTCGTGAGTCGTCTTGGAGGACACCTTGGCATCTTCTGGCTTTCAGAGGCCGCCTGGGACGCGTCAAGCCGCCCAGCCAGCCTCGGAACAGGGCTATGCACGATGGCGTGTGCGACGGGGGAGGGGATGGAGCTCACAGAACTGCACAGACAATGCCAGGGATACTTCGCAGTCAAACACGCCCTAGCGTGTCACGGGGCACGGCGGCGGGTTGATAATCGGTACCGTCAACGTTTGGTCAGCGACGGATCTGTGGCAAGCCTGGCGAGAGCAGTCTATGTATGGTGGCCACACCCATGCGGTCGTTGGAATGTGCACCAGTTGTTGCCCAGCCCTATTCGAGGGCATCAAGCATCCTTGGCAGATGCTTCCTGTCGGCTTTTTGTTCGGCCTGGGTTTTGACACCTCAAGTGAGATAGGCTTGTTGGGTATCGTGGCCATGTCGCATAGCAATATAGACCGATCCTGCATCATGCTCTTGCCCCTGATGTTCATGGGAGGCATGTGCTTGGTTGACTCTTTGAATGGCATCCTTATGGCTTGGGCTTATGGCAAAGCGCTGGAAGACACCATGCAGCGTCTGTACTACAACTTGTTTCTCACAACTACTTCGGGCTTGATTGCGCTCGCCGTCGGCGTCATCGAGGTCTTAGGGGCTTTCCAATGTGGCTATGACTTGCACGGTGGACTGTGGAATGGCATCGCTTACATCAACAATCAGTTCGAGATTTTGGGCTACTTCGTGATCGGGTTCTTCGTAATTTCAATGGCTATAGCGCTGGGCTGCTTCTGGAAAGTGTTTCCAGGAGGCCGTCCTCGAGAGGAACCCACCAAAGCCCATCTCCTCCGATACATTGACTCCGCTGCCTTCATTGACCGCTCTGGCGTCTGAGCGTTGGAGGCCCCTGCGTTGCTTGCCGCTGCAGCTGCGGAGTGTTGGAGACGTTCCTCTCCAGCCGCGGAGTGTTGCAAGGCCTGCGTCCGCCAGAGAGAAATGTACGAGGCGATTCCCCAATGCAAGCGGCAATGGGTCTTGCGGGGGGGAGGAAGCCAGCGGGGCTTGGCTGAGAATTCGGTCGGGGCCTGGCGGCGGGGTAGTGCTCAGGGGACGCCCAGAGTTGTGACGGGGGATCTTGCAAAGTAACTATACAGCTTGGTGGGCGATGCCATCGCGTCGCTCTTGCAAAGCAAGTGTGTGGATCTGCGGTCGACGAAAGGTGAATCACCAGGGCCCGTCCATGCGTTCGCTGTATCGGTTCGACAGCAGGGGTTCCCATGGGGCGAACGGGGGCGCTCGTATGGTGTTTGCAAGGGGCGCGCTAGGGGAGGTCCAGAAACCCCGGGAAACTCAGGGCAGTTGTAGAAGACCGTGGGGCTTGATTGTTTGTTTGTTTCCTAATCTGAGTGCTGGGGGACTCTGCAACGTCTGAGAGACGCTTGCGGCGTGTTATGTTTTGTCTGTCATCTGCAATGACTCTTCGTTTGACCACTACAAGCGGCGCAAGCCTTTGCCGCGCGGGAGGCAGCTCTCACATGAAAAACGAGTCATGAGTGTCAGTTCTCCTTTGTATGTCAAGATCGGCACCTCTGGCGCCCCTTTCTGTTTGCCCAACGTTTCGCAGCTCGTATGTGCGTCTGCGGAGGTTCTGGGTACGTTTTTACTTCAGGATTTCGTCAATGTTACAGAACGTGGAATTTACTATGACGCGTTGCGTCACAGCGCCGGCGACGGAGAGCCAAAGTTTGACGATCTGGCGGTTGCTGCCTAGTCTTCCAGTCAGTCAAGGTCTATCGCTGAGTGTGTTTACCCACGGACCCGCGACGTGGACGACGTCCGCATAGCCTCCCACCCATGTTTATTGCCTGTGTGAACGCGTTCTGGTGCCTATGTATATAGCGAAGACGCCTATGACGAGTCCCCGCTTCACCCTGCCTTTGGAATCGCCAGTGCCGTGAAATGTTGGTCGAAAATGCAGCCACGCTAGTGGACTACATGTTCCCCATGCCGTTTGGGAAACCACTGGCGGAACGCTTGGGTGGAGGGCCGTCTTGGGGCTGTCTTGGACTTCCTTTGGGCCTTACTGGTCTCTTGGGGGGCCTCCTGAGGCCCGCTCGGGCCAAATTGGAGCTCTCTTGGACCGTCTTAGGGTGATTTGCTTGAGAATGGCGCCTTCGGAGGCCGTCTTGGGGGCCTCTGTGGGCTGCCTTCGGGCCCTCCTGGGGCCCTTCAGGGCAGTCTTGGGTCTCTCCTAGGCTGTGTTGGGGGCTTCTTGGGACGATCTGGGTGGCCTTTGGGGGCGTCCTGGGCTGCCAGAGACTCGAAACGGCGTGAACGCGAAAAACATATGAACGCCTCTCGTAGCCCTCCTGGGGGTCCTGGGGGAGCCGTCTTAGGAAGTCTTGGGGACTGTTTGGGCCGTTTTGACGTCTTCTTGGGGTTGTCTTGGAGGGCATGCTGGGCCGATTTGATGGCGGCCGAAAACCCCTTGAAGACTTTCTAGGACACATGTTGGGTGAAGAAGGCCATGGGGTGCACCTTTCACGCGGCGTTATCGGCGGATTCCAGGTGGCCGGCGGAACGAACCGGCGGCCACGGGGAGCCTTGCGCGCGGTCCCACAAATCACCCCCGTGGCAGGCCACGGGGTGGGGGGTCGGAGACGCCTACGGCGAATCAGCTGGTACTTTCGCTCACTCCGCCTCTCTTGTAAGCTTACTTACGCGTGCCGCTGCACGCGTTTGGCTGAAGTGACTTGTACGGACAAGACGTGACGCGACTGCCGTCTCAGCGGAAAAGGTGCACGCGCTTTTCTATTAGCGCGCGCGCACGCTTCACCACCCGTCTTTCCATCGATGCACTACGTAACCATTGCCATGCTGCAGGGCATCGTCACTAGCCTCTTTCTTGAGCCGTCTTGCGTGCATCTTGGGCCGTCTTGGAGACATCTCGAGTCCATCTTGGGTTGTTTTGGGAACATCCAGGCCAGTTTGGAGGCCATCTTGGGGCCATTTTGGGGAGGGATGCCAAGGCATCCAGATTTCTCCCAGGCTTTCCGCACGGTCGGCAGGTTGTGCCAAGACCACTCTGAGAGTTCTTTAAAAAAGAACCAATACCTTACAGAAATTCAGCATGCCGTGCACCCTTGTGATGAATCACCAGGGGGCGGTGGATCTGGTGGCCTTCGGCCCATCCTGCCACTGTGCAAGGGTTGCGGGTGCGGGGCGCAATGGGGACATTGGTGGGAATACTGCGGGTTCGTAGGATGTGAGCCTTTGAAAGGGTCTCGTGGAACTCACTTAAGTGAGGGGTCCTCCTTGGTGTACTGGTAGCAGCTGGCAGCCTTGCCCGCTGTCATCCTTCTGAGGGCGGGGCGGTTAACTCTCGTAGCCTTGGACCCGCTGGCTTTCTCATGGTTGGTCAACCCCAGCTCCGAGGTGAGCCGTGCGTGCCGCACGGACAGATATGAGTCGTAGGCCATACTCGTGTCGCTTCCTATCCCCCTTCCTGCTCCACGTCTTACCTCTCCCGCAACATCCTCCTCCGTCTTGCCCTCTGTCTCCCTTCCTCATCCTCGTTCTCCTCGTCGTCCTATTCCTCCACCTCTTCCTTTCTCTTCCCTCGTCATTATCCTCCCCTTTTTCTTTCTCCTTCTCCTTCTCCTCCCACTCCTTCTCTTCCTCCTACCCCTTTTCGCCGGTTATCCTTGCTTCCCTCATTATTATCATTCTCCTGCTGCGCCCTCCCCTTCCTCTTTTCCCTCGTCGCTCTCCCTCTCCACCACCTCCACCCTACACCTCCCCCTCCTGTTCCTACACCCCGTTCTTACTCCTCGTCCGTCCCTCCATCTCGTCCCACCCCCCCTCCCCGACAATTTTCCCCTACTCTTGCCGCGTTCGTCCTCCTCCCACCTTGCCCTTTCCTCCCCCCCTGCCCCCTCCCCCCCCCCCTCCTTCCCCTCCTTCCCCCTTCGTCCCTCCCTCCTTCATCCCCCCCCCCCTCCCCCCCCTCCCGCCGCCCCCCGCCTCCCTGCCATAACTCTGGCGCCCCCGCGCGGGCGCAGGCCTCGCCGCAGCCGGGGCAGCAGCCGCCGCGGCACCGGGGCCCGGCCGCCAGGCACGCCGCCGCCGGCCCAGTCTCGGTACGGCTCGGCTTTTGCGCTGAGCCCGCTGGTCTGGGCAGCGCCGTCCTGGATATCTGACTTCCTACCCCTCCCTCCCATCCCTTGCCATGGCGTAGATCTCCTCTCTATTCGCACAATCGGATGTCTTGGCATGGCGTAGCATCACGTGGCATATCACGGTGTTGAAGACTAGCGCGTAGCATGCCATAGGATTGCGTGGCGATGCCCCGAAGTGGGGGCGGGGGCTTCCGCGGCCCCAAAATCAACGAATCGATATTGAATGTGTAGTCATTTCTGATGTTTTTCTTCGGGGGGGCAATTTTTAAATCTTGAGGCCTACTTAGAAGGACCGAGAGCCATGCCGTGGCATGGTAGTGGAAACAATGACGCCAGCGCTGCAGCGGGAGCACGATCCGGAACCAGCGGAAGCGCGGAAATGAGGCCAGCGCTGCAGCGGGAGCACGATTCGGAACGAGCGGTAGCCCGAAAATGAGGCCAGCGCTCCAGCGAGAGCAGCATTTGGAGAAAACCCAAGCGCGGAAGCGCGGAAATGAGGACGCGTAGCCTGACATAGCATGGCGTGGCGACGCCCAAAGGGAGGGGGGGGGTCTTCCGCGGCCCCAAAAATCAACGAATCGACGCCGACTGTGTGGTCACTTTCGATGTTTTTTGTCGGGGGAGCATTTTTTAAATCTTGAGGCCTATTTGGAAGGACCGAAAAACCATGCCGTGGCATGGCGCTGGAAATAATAACGCCAGCGCTGCAGCGGGAGCACGATTCGGAACGAACAGAAGCGCGGGAATGAGGCCAGCGTTGACGCGGGAGCACGATTCGGAACGAGCGGTAGCTGGACAATGAGGCCAGCGCTTCGGCGAGAGTGGCATTTTGTGAACAAATCCAGCGCGGAATCGCGGAACTGCAGAAGCGTAGCCTGATATAGGATGGCGTGGCGATGCCAAAAAGGGCAGAGAGGAGAGTAGTATTCATATTGTGTAATTGTGGAGGGAGATGGGGGGAGGGCAGGCTAGGTGTGCTTGCGTCATATCTGACGTTCTACCCTCCCTCCCATCCCTTACCATGGCGTAGACCGCTTCTCTATTCGCACAAACGGATGTCTTGGCATGGCGTAGCATCGCATGGTATAGCATGGTGTTGGACATCAACGCGTAGCATGACATAGCATGGCGTGGCGACGCCCCAAAGTTGGGGGGGGACTTCTGTGGCCCAACAAATCAACGAATCGGCACCGAATGTGTAACCACTTCCGATGGTTTTTTCGGGAGGCCATTTTCTAGATTCGCGGGCCTATTTGGAAGCATCGAAACCATGCCGTGGCATGGCACTGGGAATAATGACGCCAGCGCTGCAGCGGGAGCACCATTCGGAACGCGCGGAAGCGGGGAAATGAGGCTAACGCTGCAGCGGGAGCACGATTTGGAGGACGCGTAGCCTGACATAGCACATAGCATGGCGTGGCGACGCCCCAAAGTGGGGGGGGCTTGACTTCTACGACCCAACAAATCAACGAATCGACACCGAATATGTAATCACTTCCGATGGTTTTTTTGCGGGGCCATTTTCTAGATTTTGGAGCCTATTTGGAAGGACCGAAAACCATGCCGTGGCATGGCGCTCGAAATAATGACGCCAGCGCTGCAGCGGGAACACCATTCGGAACGAGCAGAAGTGCGGAAATGAGGCCAGCGCTGCAGCGGGAGCACGATTCGGAACAAGCGGTGGCCCGAAGAGCAGCATGTTCAAAAAAACACCAATCGAAAACTCGTTTCCGGGAAGTCCTGCGTGTAAAAAACCAGTGCGCGTAGGGGGGCCGGCCATTTCCTGGACGTCACCAGGAGAGAGAGGAGAGTAGTATTCATATTGTATGCTTGTGCAGGGGGGAGAGGAAGAGGGAGAGGGGAGGGAGAGGAGAGGAGGGGGAGGAGACTTGTCATCCTAGCGTTCCTGTCCCAGCCCGCGGCTTCGCACTCCGTGGCGCGGCTTGCGAGTTGCAGCGCCAGCCTGGCAGCTGCGCGTGCGCGCGGCAGCGCGCGGCAGCTGTCATGGCGACGCGGTGACGCACGTCAACCCGGCACCGTCGCAGCGGATGCGGGCGCTACGGGCGCGCTGCGCGAGCGCACGCCGCCGCCCACCGAGAGAAGCGAGCCATTGTTGCCGCCACAGGTGAATGGAGCAGGCTCATGCCAGTGTTGATGTGCCCTCTGTCTTTCTGAGATTTGGAGGGGAAACGAACGAGGACCGCGCGCCGCCGAGCGCGCAGTCTGCACTTGCCCACCGACGTCGCCCGACGCATCCTGGGGCGGAGCATGCTCTCAGGGCCTTCGAGGCCTCGAGCAGCTCAGCCAGGGCGCCACCTCAGAATAATGCTGGCACTCGCGGCCGCCCATCCGGAGGAAGGACAGGAGGAGGAGGAGGAGGAGGAGAAGAGGAGGGGAATGGAAAGGGGGACAAGGAGGAGGAAGACGAGGACGAGGAGGAGGAGGAGGCGGAGCAGTGTAAACCCAAGCATCACCGACGATGTTGGCACAAGCCCTCCCTCCAAGCTCCCTCTTCGTATGCCCCTACAAAGGTTCATTTCCACTGAGGGAACTGCCTCGTTGGAAGACGACCGTTGATGACCCTGAAGCATTCCAAAACATCATTCTCGGGACTCCAACGCTTCGGACCAACTTGATTATCGCACCTTGACGTTCCTGAGTCGCGCCAGAACGCCATTCCTGGAATTACAACACCGCAGACCAACGTAACTGCTGCACCCTCAAGTTCCTGAATGTTTCCAGGACGTCATTTCTGATACGTGGACCATGGGAATTTGTGAAACTCCTGCAATGTTAAAGATGGAATGTGCGAGGCGCTAAGGCGAGAGCCACATTTTGAAAACGAGCCGCCCTCAATCCGTGAAGCTCCTGCAATGTTTAAAACGAATGTGCGCGGCGCGAGAGCCACATTTTGAAAACGAGCCGCCCTCATTCTGTGAAACTCTTGCAACTATGTTTGAACCGATTGTGCGCCGCGCTAAGGCCAGAGCCACATGTTGAAAACGAGCCGCCCTCAAGCCGCGAAGCTGTTGCACATGTTTAAAACGAATTTGCGCCGCGTTAAGGCGAGAGCCACATTTTGAAAACCACCCGCCCTCCATCCGCGAAGCTGTTGCACATGTTTACAACGAATGTGCGCCGCGCTAAGGCGAAAGCCACATTTTGAAAACCACCCGCCCTTCATTTGCGAAACTGTTGCCAATTTTAAGCTTCAGGGCCAACAGTGGTGAGGGAGTCTCAAGCGAAACGACTGGCCCGCCCTAAAAACTTGCCGCGGGGTGCGACAGGGAGAAGTTATCTAGGAGGAGCAGAAATGGAGGATGAGGTGGAGGAGGAGGAGGAGGAGGAGGAGGAGGAGGAGAAGGAGGAGGAGGAGAGGGCGGGTGGCGCGCACCCTTCCGTCGCGCGCCCGTCGCCTCCACCTTCCGTTTCCTTCCTGCTCCCTCCGGCCTCCTCCCTCCTTCCCTTCTCCCTGTCCGTCACAGCCTGTGAGGGTTCGCCCTGTCGTGGGCACCCGGATGGTTTTTGGCCTTCCACCCGGGTGCTGACAAACACCTCCTTGATGGGCACACCCCCGTGTCATTTTTCTCGTGGACGCTCGGCCGATGCGCCTGGCCCCGGTGGACACCAGATCTAAAGGAGCCAGGGCCGCGGATTCAGAGGAGGAGGAGGAGGAAGAGGATAAGGAAAAGGAGGAGGAAGAGGAGGTGGAGGAGGAGGAGGAGGAGGAGGAGGAGGAGGGGCGGAGAGCATTGAAGAGGCGGGGAGTGAAGGGGGACGAGGAGGAGGAAGACGAGGAGGAGGGAGACGAGGAGGAGAAGGAGGAAGAGGAGGAGGAGGACCAGTGTAAACCCAAGCATCATCGACGATGTTGGCATAAACCCTCCCTCCAAACTCCCTCTTCACATGCACCGACAAGGGTTCATTTCTACAGAGGGAACTGCCTCGTTGGAAGGCGACAGTCTGAAGGCCCTGAAACATGCCGAAACATTATTCTCGGGACTCCAAACGCTACGGACCAACTTGGTATTGCATTTTGACGTTCCTGAGTCGCGCCAGAACGCCCTTCCTGGGATTTCAACACCGCGAACCAACGTAACTGTTGCACCCTCATAAACCGTTTTTTTTCCCCGAACGCCATTTCTGATACACTGGCTAGAAAATCCCGCGAAAGTCTTGCAACTGTAAAGAAGGAGTGTGCGAGGCGCTAAGGGTGAGAACCACATTTTGAAAACGAGCCGCCCTCAATCCGTGGAGCTCTTGCAATGTTTAAAACGAATGTGCGCGGCGCTAAGGGGGGAACCACATTTTGAAAACGAGCCGCCCTCATTCCGTAAAACTGCTGCAAGTGTTTAAAACGTGTGTGCGCGGCGCTAAAAGGGGGAGCCACTTGTTGAAAACGAACCGCCCTCAATCCTCGAAGCTCTTGCAAAGGTTTAAAACGAATGTGCGCGGCGCTAAGTCGAGAGCCACATGTTGAAAACCAACTGCCCTCAATGTGTGAAGCTGTTGCCACTGCTGAAGCTTCAGGGTCGTAGATATGGTGAGGAAGTCTTATAAGAAACGCCTGGCCCGCCCTTTCGACCGGCCTCGGGGTACGACAGGGATAAGTTATTCTTAAAGGAACTCACCAGGGGGAGGAGGAGGAGGAGGAGGAGGAGGAGGAGCAGGAGGAGGAGGAGGAGGAGAGGCCCCCGCTCCCAGCTAAGATCTTGCATCGCGTCATATGGGGGATCCTCAACAGCCAGGCCATGCCCATAGGGTACAATGACCTCTTAGGCTTTTTCCTCCCGAAGGGCTCCGAGGATCAAGACGCCCCTGCAATTCTGCTCCTGGGTACCTTAGCCGCTTAGGTCTGAAGATCACCGACAATACAATAATCACGGGGGTGGTTGCCCGCACTTTTTCCAGATGCCTTCCTGAAGTTTCCAAACATATTCAGCGGGGATTCGCCCCCACCCACAAATTCGGGGACAACATTATTGATATTGGTACGATGTCCAGGGTCTTCAGCCTCAGGCCGCCGTATCCATGCCACCACTGCTCACCTTTGACTTCCAGCAGGCCTTTGCGAGCGTCGCCCATGACTGGATCCGCTTGGTTCTCTCGCGCAGTGGATTGCCAAAGGCGCTGTGCGGGTTCTTCGGCGAGCTGTTCCTCTGCGTCCACTGCCTGGCGGCGACGGGCGTCGAGCTGTCGGTCCTCAACTGTGTGCAGAGTGGCATCATGCAGGAGTGCCAAGGATCTGGTTTCTTGTTCGCTATTGGCGCGGACCCGCTCATGCAGGACCAGTTCTTGCCGCTGCCCGCACCGATCGGTAGGACGGTGGCCGCGCTTCTCGCTTGCCTGTAGCACGCTGCCCACTGTGCCCTCCCCCGTGCTGGCTGGGTGGATGTGTGGCGATGGGACGGCCCCAGACTCAACAGTATCGCGATCGCTGCAAGTGCGTCTCTTGTCCTTGCCAGCCGCTCCACCCTCAGCAGCTGGCGCCCGATGGCCCCCTATGTCCGACCCGAGGCTGACGCCAACCTTCCCGCTCCCCGTGTGGCCTGTGGCCTTCTCCCACCCCAGCTTCTGGAAACAAATATCCTTCGCCAAATTCCTGGGGGCCGCCCGCGCCCGTGAACCGAACCCCGTCGGACACGGTCTGACCACCTCGTCCCTCGTCGCGGCTGAGCACCTCTCCCGTGTTGCTGCTGATGCCGTCCTTTCTCTTCTTGCTCTCCCCCTCTCCCCCCCGACCAAAACTCAAGATCCACAGCCACCTTTCGAAGGCCATGCTCAACGAAGTTTTCCACGACCCTCTGCTGTCCGTGTTCGCGGCCCGTCTCGTTTCCTGGTTCCCTGGCGCCGTGTTCAACATTCGAGGGTGGCCTTGGGAGGACGTCCGACGGGTGCTTCTCTTATTGCCGCCTCAGTAACCAAATGCCGTCTTAAAGTTTCTCGCGCGCGGCTGGACTACCGACCAGCGCTTTCAGAAAAAGGGGGAACTGCCTCCTGGGCTGCATCCCGTGCACGTCGTCGCCCCTCTCACTACTGATCTTGCCCGCGTTTTGTCCACCTGCTCTGCCTTGTCCTTGAGGTCCGTTCGTTGCCGGGCTGCGCCATCCAGCGACTCGGCCTTTGTGTTCCCTCCTTTGCTTCTCTCGTTGCCCTTGCTGTTGTCAACATTTTGTATCATCATATCAAGTCGGTCGATCCGAGGATGCCAAATCACTGGACGAACCCACCGCTCGGTCCATTGCCGCCACTGTGCGTTTCCAGCTGCGGCGGCGATAGACGTGGGCACCCTGCGGCATCGGACGCCTGTCAGGAGGAGGAGGAGGAGGAGGAAGAGGAGGAGGAGGAGGAGGAGGAGGAGGAGGAGGAAGCGGGGGAGGAGGAGGGGGAGGAGGAGGAGGAGGGAGGAGGAGGAGGAGGAGGAGGAGGGGAGGAGGAGGAGGAGGAGGAGGAGGAGGAGGAGGAGGAGAGGAGGAGGGGAGCAGGTGAGAGGAGGACAGTCGGCGTAGGGAGGAGAGGGAGCAGGTGTCCGGAGGTTTTCGGGGGTGTTTTGACAGTCGGGAGGGCTCCAGAGGACGAAGGGCACGAGGAGGATGCGGATGATGAGAAGGTGGAGGTCGCTCTGATGCTCGTCAGGGCGGGAGTAACCCTGTGAATTTCGGGTGGGGCACTTTGGTTCTCCCATCATTGATCGTCAGTGCCAATGAACATGGGAAAGTCAGACGTTTCGCTGGTGATGGTGCGCGTATTGTACCACCTTCCGCACCTTGGACCGGTGGTTGGCATGTGCAGTCCGCATGCCGAGTGATAAGTAACTGTTTTCAAACGCACTTTTATGCTTCAGGGTGCGGGGTCGGGGGCCGTCTGTATTCTAGCCATCCTGTGCGATACTCAATTTTGTCGCTCGAGCATGTCGCCCGCGTCCCTGTCAGTATTCATAGCTTCTCGGTTCGAACAGGCTGGGGCTCCAGCGAGCCCGTCGCCCGACGAACGGAGGCACCAGACTGCTTCCGAGGCCTCTTCGCGGGGCGCGCCTAGGCCGCCATCACAACGCGCGGGGTGCTCGCTGTTTTTTTTTCTCACTGTTGTGGTGCAGGAGCTGCACTACTTGATCCCGGAGGGCGCCGTCAGCGGCGTTGCCGACAACTTCGACGAGGAGGAACTGTTCGTGGGCACGAGCACTGCGAGGTGGACGATGGCGCCGTGGTCGAGGTGGAACGGGATCTATGTCCGCAGCCCCTCCCAGCCACAAGGGGTGGTGATGTTCCTTGTGACGAAAGCGGGGTGCAAGCATCCAGGCGTGTGCAGGTCCCACCAACCGCATTGTCATTATCGACGTCCGGGACAAGGAGCGGGTTTTGACGAAGCCCGATACGGGCGTGGGTTGGACTGAGCACCCGGGCGTCTCTGCGCGGGCGCGGGACTCAGTGATCACGGCGGTGGAGCGGGCTATCGCTAGGCTCGAGGTGGACACCGAGAACGGGAAGATGCAGGCCAGCAAACCCCCGCCGAAGCAGAAAAAGAGGAACGCTAAGAGTGGGCTTGTCTCGTGGGTCACGGGTGGGCTCGGGAACATTTGCACGGTGCTGTGGGCAAAACGGAACTGGGGATTGTGGAGTGCGATCTCTTGCATGTGCTGACGACTGTGGGCGTTTCTTGCGCTTGGGATCCATATTCCGTGCGCCCTATCGCGGGGCCCGAGCAGTCTATGGGACCGTCGAGGATGTGCAGCACGTCTACGACACCATTTGTGAGAATTACGAGAGCAGAGATCTGGAATACATCCTCGTCGCCGTCGGGGGCGCGCTCGTGGCAGGATGTTTCTTGTGGGCGTGGTCATGCGGCATCTCGAGCGACTCCGACTCGGAGAGGGGCTCCACGACCAGCGACGACGACGATGAAAGGATCTTCGGCTCGCAGGTGGCGGACTCCGACGACGAGCCGACACCTCGTCGGCTTTTCGCGGAGCTCGCTAAGCAGCAGCAGGCGTTGCAGCGGGCGGTGATCGACCTGGCGGGGGCCATTCAGAATCCGAGTGCGGGGCAGCCTCTTGGTGCAATGACCCGAGGGTCTCGGTCGAGTGGCTCGGACCGGGCGTCAGATCAAGGCCACCCCAGCCCTGAGGCCCCAGCCGCGGGCGAAGGAGAAGGTCAGCCTACCACTTCCCGGATCGACGACTTCATCTCCAAGCTGAACGAGCGCGTGGACACGGTCAAGACGGACTCCATTCAGGCGGCGCTGGGCGCTGGCTCGCCTGCGAGGTCGATCGACAGCGCGGGCTCTCGGGAGCAGGTCGGACGTGCGGATGACGAGCTACAGGAGCGCATCCAGCTGCTGAAGGACGAGAGCCGCAGCCCTCGCGACGGCCTGCTCGCCGCCCTCGAGAGGTTCACGCATGTGCGGATGACGCCCGTCGGCTGCGTGAAGACGAGGGTCGCCTTGGTCGTCCTCCACAAGCTGCGCCGCTCGGGGCGCGCGGCCAAAGTGGAGCTCGGCGGGTGGTCGAGGTCGGAGGAGTTCCAGCGGGCGAGCACCAGCTCCGAGGTGACGATGCTGGCCACTGTCCTGGACCGCGCGATGGCGGGCAGGGGGCCCGCGACCAGCTCATCGACAGTCCTGCGGCCGAGCCCACCTGGCTCCGCCTCTATGCGATCTTGAAGGCCTACGAGAACGTGGAGTGCATCAGCGACTGGCAGCGGCCAAGAGGACAGCAGAGCGGGGGCAAGCGGCGCTCCAAGGTCGACTGGGCCTTCGCGGGCGAGCACCTCAAGGTGGGCGGCGACTCGGGGCCGACCGACCTCGAGGCCGACGCCGAGGTGACCGAAAAAGCTGAAGAGGGGGGCAACCATCGCGAAGCACCTGCAGGGCGCCATGGGCAGCAGCTCGGCGGGTGCGGATCACGAATAGGTTGCGGCTGGGGCCCCCGCGGCAAGTCCTGGCCAAGCGCGCGCTCAAGGCGTGAGGCTGCGCTCTTGGCGGGGGGCGCTGCTGCTGGGGTGCGCCGTCGCCTTCCAGTCGCCTGGGAGCTCGAGGGCCTGTGAGGTGGCGGGTTGGTGCTTGGTCGCGTCCCTTTGGCTGCGCGGCCATTCGGGCGCGGCCGATTTCTCCTGGTCGGGCAAGGGCGTGTCCGAGGCCGACCTCTACTTCAACGTCGCTTTTTTCTCGCGTCGGGGTGCAGGGCACCTGGTGGGCCCTGTGCCTGGTGATGGCGGTCCATCCTGCCGCGCAGCCTCGATTGGGAACGGAATTGCTAGGGCGGACAAGCTCACGAACTAAAGAGTTGCCGTTCCACGAACGATGTTCCAAACGTGCTAGGCTGAGGAAAGTTCACTCCTGTGCAGCCGAACCAAGGTGCTGCCCTGAGGAATGTCAATGCCCCAGCATGATGGGGGGCCACGGCATCACAAACGAAAAAACACGCATTTGAGGAAATCGAAGCGGACATGCGCACACCAATTGAATTTTGCCTGTGGTTCGCTGCGGCAAGGAAACATGTTGCAAATGCGCAGGACTGGGGAAGGCTCACCGCCATACGGCCCTATCAGGGTGCTACCTTGTCGAATTGCCAATGTGCCAGCATGAGGGTATAACGGCATCACGAGAAAAATAAAGGACAGCATTCGAGGTAATCCAGGCGAAGAGGCGTACACCAGCTGTGTTATGACGGTTGGTATTCGCCGCGGCTAGACAATCCTTTTCAAGCGTGCAAGATTGATGAAGGCCCACCCCGTACAGCCGTTTCAGGGCGTTGCCCTGCGGAAGTGTAGAGTTCGTGCGAATGCCAAGTATCACCTGGCTCGAATTCGCAGCATGACCTGGATCGTGCGAGTGCCCAGCATAACCGTTGTCCAGCTGTCTGATATGTCTGGCGAGCAATTGCTCGCTCGATCTGGCGATTTCCGGTTGGGGCTGGCAAGATCCCGAATTGAAGCCGCATTGCATGCGCCGCGCTGGTAGCGCAAGTCCAGAGGATTCGGGGACCAACAAGTCTCCTTACAGGCGCTCCGTGCGTCCTCCCCCGACTGCCCCTCAGCAGCCCTGCGCACCATCGGCGGGGGCGAGAGATTCCTGGACCTTTTGGCTAATCCCGAGGACCGATGCCTCCGCCTTTGAGCTGGCGGACGCCCACATGACACGAGAGCTGACGCCCACACACCACATGGCCATGACACCACCCACACGAGGCAGAGGCAGCGCGGACGACGGAAATCGGGCCCGACGTCAGCTGCAAACGCAGGGAGGGTCGCTGCAGTTTCTCGAATTCGCAACCTTCGGGCGCGGCACACCGCCTTCGGTGGTCTTCCTCTTCCTTTTCCTCCACGAGGGCCGTTTTGGCTCGATCGCCTTGCTTGGGCCGACGGGCCGTTCTGAGCCTCTGCGAGGCGGTCGGAGGGGCGCGCCGCATGTGGCCTGTGGATGGCTGTCCTTCGCGTGCTGGCGCGTGGCGAAGTCAGGGCGAAGAGGTGATCCTGCTTGCGGGGGACGCCCTACGTCGCGGCGAGTCAAGTCGTCGGGGAGGCAGGAAACTGATGCGGTGGAGGCGGCTCCACGCTCGGTCCGAGCGCCCAGCAGTGGCAGCGAGGCGGCGCGGATAGTCCCTGAGGTCCAGGCCTTGTTCGCCACGGGGGATGTCCGAGGTCCGATGTCGGTGGCCCTGTCGCATGGCCGACCTGGAAGCCCACCTCGGCGTCCGCAGCCTGGCGGGCACGCAGACAGCGTCGATGGGCTGCTCTCGGAGCTGGCGCCCTCTTCGGCGGTGCATGCGAAGCCCGCGGAGCTTCGTGCGGAGCCTGCTGCTCTCGTCACCAACGCCCGCCTTCATGCTGCTTCCGCAGGCGTTGTTCGTGTCGACCAGCGGTGTTGCCAGCGGTGCCAACAGCTTCGTCGTACTGTGCACGCCCACTTCCGGTCCATCACGGCGGGATTCCCCCCTCAAGAGGCAACTGGTGTCTCGTGGGCCTGTTCCTGCGCCGGCGGTTCAAGGAGAGCCTCGCGAGAGCTACCTTCCTCCACCTGGCCTTCCGCGTGCTGTTCGCGCATTTCGTCGTGGAGTTACTGGAGAGAATGGGTTAGTTTACTCTCTCGTTCAGTTGGCGTTCGGTGTGGGGAGCCGTGGCGACGCGCCATCATCGCTGTCGAACGACTCTGCGGAGGTTTCTGGCGACCTGGAGGCCCGATAGTTAGGAATGCAGGTCAATCAGCAGAGATCCGGTGCATTCGACGCGGTATGGCCGTCAGCTTCGGTATGGGAAAAAAAAGAATGCAGGTCAATCAGCAGTGACGGTCCTGTCGACGCGGATCGCGCTATGCGGGAACTTGACGCGCAGCTGCGGGACGTTAAGCCGGAGTCCACACTCGTGGACCAGGCGCTGGCGACTATCGGTCGGCCTCCTCGCGCTGCGCCGCTTTACGATTAGGTTCGCAGCGGTAGCGTGCCATCCTCGGCGTCGGCCGAGCTTCCCGCACCGCGTGCTGCGATCCCGACGGGACCACGGATTGATTGGTGGGGGCTTTTTCGGCTTCCTCTGGTACGTCGACGGGCCGTCGGCCGTGGCTGTGCAGCCAACGCCAGCAACGACTTCAGCCGAGTGCCCGAAGAGTTGAGATGTGGTGCAGCGGAGGGTGCTGCGTGGAATCCCTCAGGCGGTCGTCGTTCGATGCGTTCGAATTCTTCATCGACTACGGTGTGGCCCCCTGCAGCTCGGGATCGCTGAGCCGCAGCTGCAGTCCTACGGCCAGGTCGCGCCCAAGTGCGGCCCCGGCTGTTCGAGCGTATCTCCTGAGAACCTCCTCCTCCCACTCCTCCTACTTCTCCTCCTCCTCCTCCTCCGCCCTCCATTTTTCTGTCATCCGCCTCCTTTCTTCCTCGGCCTCCTCCGGATCCTCCTGATCCTCCTGCTCCTGCTCAATACTGCTGGTCCTCCTCTTTGTTTTCCTTTCCTTTCCTTTCCTTTCCTTTCCTTTCCTTTCCTCCTCCTCCTCCTCCTTCACTTGTCCGGCTCCTTGTTGTCCACTCAGCCACACCTTGCCAACGCGGAGGCCAAGCCCGTCTCCATTCGGGCAACGGCGGATGATGAAGGCGACCAGAACAGGCGCCGCTCGAGGGGTATTGGGAGACAGACGGGCATGAGACGGATGAGGCTGGAGGGAAGATGGGGGGAGGAGGAAGGCGATTATGGGTGATGATGTTTAGCATGATGATGACGACGATGATTATGGGGGTGATGATGCTGCTGATCGCAATGATGATGATGCTGCTGATGATTGCGACTGCGATGTTGGTGATGCTGTTGCTGCTGATGCTGCTGCTGATGAAGATGATGACGCTGATGCTGACGATGGTGGCGATGACGGCGACGCCGATGATGGTGATGACGATGACGATGACGATGACGATGACGATGACGATGATGATGATGATGATGATGATGATGATGATGATGATGATGATGATGATGATGATGATGATGATGATGATGATGATGATGATGATGCTGCTGCTGCTGCTGATGATGATGATGATGATGATGATGATGATGATACGAAACGGGTGATGAGGTGGATCGTGGTGATGGCGATGATCATGGCATGTCGTTTCTGCGTGTGCGCTGCAAGTGTCCCGCCAAGTGTACTTGCCAGGCGCATCGCTCCATCGCCCCTGTCTTGCCGAGAAGTCCGCGGTTGTCCACCGTGCGGGCTCGAGCAGCCGCCCCATCGTGTCGGCGCAGCTCCCAATCCTTCCTATTTCTCCTTCCCTCTCCTCCACTCCCGTCGCTCTCTGGGGGTTTCGCGTAATCAGTGGTTCATTCATCCAACGAAGACGCCTACGGCGAATCACCGCCGCCCCCTGTCCTTTGTAAGCGCCAATGTGGTCGAACGTTGCAGTCAGAGCTCGGTCAACTTATCGGACTGTGTGTTCCCCTGGTCATGCTGGAAGCCATCGGGGGAACATGTGGAGGAGAAAGACGAAGAGGAGGAGAGGGAGGATAACGAAGGAGGATGAGGAGGAGGAGGAGGAGCAGGAGGAGGAGGAGGAGCAGGAGGAGGAGGAGAAGGAGGCCTATTGGGCGTCTCTTCGGGCACTCTTTGAGCCTGGGGGCGTTCTTGGAGTTTCCTGAAGGCTTCTTGGGGGCTTCCTTGGGCCTCTTGAGGGCCGTTCGATGCTCCTGGGGAGGCTCGTTGGCCGTCTGAGGGCGTTCCTGGCTCGCCTGACGCCGCTGGCAGCCGTCCTGGGAACTTCTCTGGGTCAAGTTGGGGCCCTCGTGGGGTGCTTGAGGGTCTTCGTGGAGGCCATCTTGAGCGTCTTGGAGGTCGTCGCCTGGGCCGTCTTGAGCCCCTCTGTGAGGGCCGCCATCTCGGAAGCCTCTTGTGCGTTCTTGGGGCCGTTCTGGTGACCTCTGGGGCCGTCTTAGGCCGTCGGAGAGCAGAACATACGCGAACGCCCAAATCGTCAGACACCGACCGGGAATCAATATGTTTTGCCTTTTCGGGCCCTCTTCGGAGGTCACTTCCGGAGATGGTTCCGCCAGCCCGGGGGGGGGGCGGAAACCGAAACCGGAAAAATCGGAGAGCGGAAAACGGAGAGCGGAAGCCGGAAACTGCATGGCGGGAGAGGCCGTTCGGGGAGGGACCGGGAACGGAAAGCGGAAGCTGGAGACCGGAAAAGCGCAAGCGGGAGCCTCCCGAGGCAGGGGCCAGCATCGCAGATCGGAAAGTGGAAAGCAGAAGAGAAAGAACGCGGGGATCCACGGACGGGGGCCGGAAGCGGAGACCAGAAACCGGAAAACGGAAAGTGGGAACCGCGGGAGCTCCTTGCATAGAGGCCGGAAACCGAAACCGGAAACCAGAAACCGGAAAGCGGAGCCCGGGAACCGAGAACCTGAGACCGGAAACCGGACACCGCAAACCGGAGACCGGCGACTGGAAACCGGAAACCGGAAAGCGGAAGACGGAGAGCGGAAACCGGAAAACGGAGAGCGGGCGGAAACCAGAAAGCGGAAAGCGAAGTTGGAGACCAGAAGCCCGACAATGGAAACCAGAAGTCGAAAGCAGAAAAGGACCTATGGAGCCCGACCCCCCCCACCAAACAAAAACAATTTAAGACGCGTCCCAGAAGGACTTATTGAATTGCACGCAACGCACAGTTCGGGGCGAGGCTCCTTGGGTGGGCCACCGACACAACCGTCGTCGTCGTCGTCGTCGTCGTCGTCGTCGTCGTCGTCGTCGTGGTCGTCGTCGTCGTCGTCGGTCGTCATGGTCGTCGTCGCCGTTGTCAACGTCATCGTCGTCGTCGCCGTCGTCGTCCATCGCCGTAATCGTCGCCGTCGATCGTCGTCGCTCTCTGGGCGGAAGCGCCGGCTCCCATGTTTGCGAGGCGGAGCGGGGGGCGGCAAGAAGAGGTCCAGGCCTCCAGGAGAAGCGCAGAAGGGAGGAGGAGAAAGAGGAAGCGACGAGGAGGATGGGGTGGACAATGATGTTAAAGAGAAAAAAGAAATGGAGGAAGAGGAGGAGGACGAGAAGGAGGAATGGGAGGGGGAGGGGGAAAGGGGCGGTGTAGGGGGAGCAGGAGGCGGAGGAGGAGGACGAGGAGGAGGAACGAGGGAAAATTATAGTTGGAGGAGTGGCAGTTTCAGGGGTATGAGGCGGAGAAAGACGAGGACGACAACAACATGAGCGACGAGGGCGGCGACGACGGCAATCATGACGACGACGTTGCAGGCCGAGCAGGAACAAGAGAACGACAACGGTTCGGACGATGCGCGCACAGTATTCGGAGCCACTCTGGCTTTAAAAACGCTGTTTGATGATGAAGGACTCTAGCCATACTTGCTACTTCCCCTCAGCGCCAACACATCGTTCCAAGATGAGCTCCAGACGGCCCAAGAAACCTCCCAGACGGTTCAAGAGGCTTCCAAGATGGTACCAACACAGCCAAGAACTCTCCAAGACGCCCAACGTGGCCGCCAATGCGGCTCCGAGACTGCCAAAATGGCACAAAGACGACCCAAGATTGCCCCAAGATTGCCCGAGACAGTCCCGGAGGTTCCCAAGAGTCTTCGAAGTCGGCCCAAGAAAGGCCCAACAGAGCCCAGAGAGGCCAAACATCAGGCTAGCGGAGCGGCGACCGGGGGATTTTCCGACACACACACACACATTGTTTTTGTACGGCAGAAATGGGTGAACAGATTTGGTTCGTGTCGAACACTGCGGCGCAAACTTTGTTCACCCATTCCCTGCGTGAAATACACATGGTGCAGCGAGCCGGTGAGGCGTAACGGAACCGTCTTGGAGCTCTCTTGGGGCTGTCCGCGGCCGCGGCGAAAGGCCCCTGGGAGCCCCGTGATCTCTCGCGGCGGGGAGCCCCCAGGTTTTCTTTGTTTTACACCTATATTTATTTTTCATTTTTATTCATATATATATGCTCAGCGCAGCACGGAGCGCCGACGGGGGTTTCAAGGAAAGACCCAAGGAGCCCCCGAGACAAGGCCCGGAGAGCCCCTCGGAAGACCCAAAGAGATCCCACAGAGAGCCCCAAGAGGGCCTTGTGGTGAGGCTCCTCGGGCAGGTGTTTGAATGCCCGCACCGAAGACAAACTCTCAGCTCCGCCCTCCTCGTCCCTCATTCTGCATCCTCCTTCTCTTCGCCCTCATTTTTCCTCCGCCCTCCCTGTCATCTCTCCGCACCCCCCCGTCGTCCAACGCCTCCGGCTCCTCCTGCCGCCGCCTCCTCCCTCTCCTTCTCCTTCCTCGTCCTCCGCCTCAGCCTCTCTCCTTGTCGTCGTACTCCTCCTCCTCCTCCTCCTCCTCCTCCTCCTCCTCCTCCGCCTCCTCCTCCTCATCCTACACCTACCTCCCCCTCCTCCCCGTCAGTCCCCCTCCTCCGACGCAGAGCAAAGCAATGCAAAGCAATGCAAAGCAAAGCAAAGCAATGCAAAGCAATGCAAAGCAATGCAACACAATGCCAAGCAAAGCCAAGCAATGCCAAGCAAAGCAACGCAATGTAAAGCAATGGAAAGCAACCTGCTGGCTTGAAGTGCCCCCGTAATATTATCGCCGGATGGCTTAAAACAGCTCCAATAAAGTATCCTCACCCGCTGGCTGAAAACACTGCCCCGAAACATCCCACCCCCTGTGCCCTGCCCTCCGAAATATCCTCTCCCCCCGTGGCTTGAAAGCTGCACCCGAAATATCCTCATCCCCCCTGGCCAAAACTTCCCCCCAAAGATCCTCACACATCCCTGGCACGAAACTGCCCCTATCATGCCAGTGTACCTCGCGATAATTAAATTACTGGCTGGATCTGTAAATCACAGCAAATCTGTTTCCGCGACAGCGCAGAGACAGCGAGTGAAGTGCCCTCAGGTTTCTTGTACGTGTCTGTAAGCGGTGTCGTCGATGCTGGGTACTCATGCCTGGATTCCCGGAGGTCTTGACGTGGTAGCGCGTTTGGCTGGCCTCCCCGCATGACTTTTTCTACCCTTTTCTGGACGTCCTCGGAACCTCTTTGGGAACCTCAGGGGACATTCTGAGGGTCGCTCGGGAGCGTGCTGGAGGTTTCGGGGGTCGTCTCTGGGCAGGGAGCTCGAAGTGTGTGCGTGGGTTCCCCCTCGCGGGTCCCTTGGAATTCTCTTGACGTGGTCTTGGGCCGGCGCGGGGGCGTTCGGAGGCCGTCAGAAACACGGAACCGCAAACTGGTAAGCGGAAAGGAAAGCAGAACATCGAAAACGGGAACAGGACAACGAAAACTAAGAAACGGAGAACAAGCAACGAAACTGGATTCCGGAAACCGGAACACAGAAAACGGAAACCCGGAAGCGGAAAATGGAAACCTGTAGCTGGAAAGCGGAAACAGGAAAGCGGAAAGCGGAAACCAGAAACCGGAAACAGAAACCAGAAACCGGAAAACGGAAACCGGAAACCGGAAATCGACATCGGAAACCAGAAAACGAACATTGGAAGCCAGGAGCCGGAAACCGGAAGCGGAGAGCGGAAACAGGAGTCAGAAACCGGAAATGGGAGACGGAAAGCGGAACGTTGAAAGCGGAAACCGGAACCGACCGGAAAGCGGAGAACGGAATTCAGTTTTCCGATTGGATTTTCCGTTTTCCGTTTGCGTCCCGGGCCGGCGCCCCTGCTGACCAGAACCATTTGCGGAAGAGTTTTGCCTTTTGGAGGTCCTCTAGGAGGCCTGGGCCGTCTTGGAGGCCTCATGGACGACGTAAGGCCATTTTGGGCCATCTTGGGGGCATCTCGGTCTGTCTTGAAGTCATATCGTGGTAATCTTGAGCTCTCCTTGGGCCTTCGTAGCCGTCTGGGAAACCATTTTGGTCGTCTTTACGGCCATCTTGGAGCAGGCTGGAAAGGGAAGACCGACAACCTCAGAAGTTTACGAGAGTTTCTCAGGCGGAACGGCCAACAGAAGCAGAACATTTGTGCGTCTTTCAGGGTGGCTGGCGGGTTGGGCCGAAGGCCCCCCGGGAGCCTTCTTAAAGAGAACCAGCAGCTACCCAACATTCGGCAGGCCGTGCACCCCTGTGGCAAGCCACAGGGGGCGGCGGATCGAAGACGCCTGCGGCGAAGGAAAGGGAGTATAAGGAGGAGGAGGAGAAGGAGGAGGAGAAGGAGGAGGAGAAGGAGGAGGAGGAGGAGGAGGAGGAGGAGGAGGAGGAGAAGGAGGAGGAGGAGGAGGAGGAGGTGGACTCCACTTGGAAGCCTCTGAGGGCACTCTTGGGGTATCGTGGGAGCTTCCCGGGGGCCTCTTGAAGGCTTCTTTGGGCCATCCTTGGGCCTCTTGGGGGGCCTTTGGCGGCTGGTTCGGGGCCGCTTTGGCTGTCTGAGGGCGTTCCTGGCACGTCTGCCGCCGTCTTGGGGCCCTCTTGGGGCGCTCCAGCGCCGTCCTGGAGGCCATCTTCGGCGTCTTGGGGACCTCTTGGGCCGTCTCGGGGCCCTCTTGGGCCGTCTCAGGGGCCTCTTAGGTCCTTCTGAGGCCACCTTGGAGACCTTTTGGGCGATCTTGGGGCAATATTGGGGGGCTCTTGGGCCGTCGGAAGGCCGAAGAAAGGCAAATGCCCCAATCCTTCAGACCCAACGGCAGATCAATGGTTGTGGGACGATCAGGAGGCGGAAGACCGTTGCTTCCGCGTCCTCCTCCTTCTCGTCAGCCTCCTGCTTCGCCCCTTCTTCCGCCTCCTCGCCCGCCTCCCCTGTCTCCTCGCTCCCCTCCCCCTCCCCCCTTGCGTGGCTTGTTCTGGCTCCAGGCCCAGCCCCTTCCTAAGCGAGGGCCCCCCTCCCGTGAGCTGCGATGACCTCGGCCCGGCCAGGCTGCCCCTCGGCGGCCACGGTCGCGTGGGCGATCGTCAGCTGCGCCGCGCTCGTGGAGGGCGGCCTGAAGACGAGGTCGGCCAGCGGTTGTGGCGCCACTGAGCCCCGCCGCCTCACCACGGGGGCACTCAGCAAAGGGAGCGGGCTCGAGTACATGGCGAGCGGCTACGACATCTTCTTCGGAAATCCAGACCCCACCAACGGTGCTGTTGACGCGGGCTTCCGGAGCCAGGTCTTCAAGCTCAACCCTGGCAGCGAAACGACGCCGGACGGAAGCAACAAGGTTCCTGAGGGGATGTCCACGCTCAATTGCGACGGATCCTGCTCATTGACGTCGAAGAAGCAATCGATCACGAGCATGCAGGACTACTACGACTTTTTGTCCACCAGCGTCTATGTGGACGTCGGTTTCGCTGACATCGCAAGTTTTTCGGCGTCACTGGACTTCCAGCGCGTTCGACAAGGCTTCGAAGATCACGAGAATGTGTACACCACCGTCGTTGCCCACTGCTGTGCATACGAGGCGTTCATCGAGACGTACAAGCCCCCTCCTGCCGACGAGAACTTTTTGGCTGCCGTGGAAATGGCACCAGTAGACTACGAACAGGCTTTCTATTTTGAAATAATCGGCGAGTTCGGTACACATTTTCTGTCATCTGCGCAGTTGGGTGGCATGTACGGCGAGGAGACCGAGTTCACACACGACCAGTACAACAGCATGAAAGCGGCGAAGAGCGATTGGTGGATGGCAGCGCAGGCGTCCTTCGTCGTGTCGGTCGACGCGGGCATGGCAAGTCAGTCAGATTGGATGTCAAAAGAGTTCTTCGATAAGTACAGCACGACGACCAGGAAGTACTCGCTGGGGTCGATGCCGCCGCAGGGTGGGGACCCAGAGGTGTGGCTATCGCAAACGATGAAGCAGCCAGTGCCCACCTCCATGAAGCTCAGGCCGCTCAGCCAGCTCTTCACTACGACAATGGCTCCGAACGAAAATGTGACGAAGCTCGAAGCCAAGAGAAAGAACATGGAAAGGGCTCTGCAAGAGTATTGCCCAGAGAAGCTGCTGAAGGAGGGGATCGTCGACAGCTGCAAGACGGTCATGAGCGACCCCGACGCGGCGGCAGCTGCCGATGACAAGACCTGCCTGGCCAAGGTGGGGGGCGCAGGCGGCCCGGGTGGCCAGTCGTTCGACGATTCGGGCACGATGATCCAGCTGTACGGGCTGTTCGCAAACGTCCAGGTGAGCCAGATCGTGGTCAAGAGCCAGCGCTGGCTGAACAGCATCCAGCTCGTCCTGTCCCAGGGGGACAGCAACTGGCCCCTGCCGGAGCATGGCGGGAAAAGCGGCGTCCACAACACGCTGACGTTCTCGGTTGGCCAGAAAATCACCGCTGTCGAGTTGAGATACCAGAGATACATCGACAAGATATCCTTCTGGACAAACGACGGCTCTGAGCAACACGTGGGCGGCGAGGGCGGAGCTTATTCGAGGATGGTGAACTTTCAAGACGCCGTCAGGAATGCGACAGGATACCTCCCCAGGGAAGCATGGATGGTGGGCTTGTACGGCCACTCCGATCAATACGTAGACTCCCTCGGCTTCTACGTGGCCTACACGTGCACTGCGTCCCAGATGCCGGGGCCAGTTGGCGGCCCAGCCAGCGCGCCAAACCAGACGTCGAGCGGCGCAATTGCCACGAACGGCACAACCAGTATGAACGCCAGCAGCAGCAACAGCAGCAACAGCAGCATGGACGAAAGGAACGTCACGACCACCACGGACGCTGCGGCTGCAGCGGGGCCGCTTGTCTGACGCGGCCTGGCGTTGCAGCATGAGTCGGCCTGCCGCAGCCTGTGCCATACTGTGGGGGCGTTCGTTGAGGAATGTGCCCAGGAGGCTTCAGACCCTGGATGTCTCTTATCTGATGAAGGCGGCGGTGGCATCCATGGCCAACCCATTGGAGTTCCACTGGCCTCCAGACCTTGGATTCTTTGCCAAATGGTTCCTCATCCAATGCCCTCGCCTGTTCCTGGCCAGCCCGTGACCCCACGTGCAGCTGCCACCAGGTGGGGAACCAGGCGGCGAGGAGCCCGAGGCGCCCGCCGCCGAGGTCCACGCACGGGGAGGTGGGAGGACACGGACACGAGGCGGCGTGGCCGCTCGTTTATGCCCCTGCCCGGCTGGCACGGTCCCGTGTGCTCTGATCCTTGGGAAACAAAACGTGACATACACATGACTTTTCGGAGACCTGCGCGGATTTCTCCGATCGGCGCTGGTGCCCCCCGGCGGCGCTTCCGGCGCCGTTCTTGGCGCGAGGTCCAGAGCCGATCCAAGAAATCCGCTCGGACCTCCGAAGGTGTATGCTGATACCTTTTGTTGGTCCTCTAGATCAGGGGCTCAGCGGCACGCACTGCGGACTCGGCGGCAGGTGCCGTTGCCTCTTTGAGCTGCGCCCTGGAGCTCCGTCCCGGTGCCTTGGACAGCGGGTGCCTGGTGGAGTGAGTTTTGCTGTTTTTGCTAGCCGTGCGGGCAGTGTTTGAACGCATTCTCGGCATCTCTTTTTGATGTCGGCTCCATGTAGCAGGACCTCCGGGCTTTTGAATGTGACCTCGGGTGCAGCAGCGAGGAGGCCCATTGTCGAACAAAAGCGGTGCGGCTATTGGTTTGGAAGGGCTAGCTGTTCTTGCCTTGACGCCAGCGCGTTCGAATCTGCACAGGGCGACGGTTTCTCCTAATGGTGAAATAAGCGTTTTAATGGTGAAATAGAAATCTTAATGGTGAAATAGAATTTCTTAATGGTGAAATAGAATACCTTAATGGTGAAATAAAATACCTCAATGGTGAAATAAAATACACCACGTAAACACACCACGCAAACACCACGCAAAAACACCACGTAAACCGCCGCTCCAGCGGCGCATGCAAACACCACGCAAAAACACCACGTAAACCGCGACCCACCCCACGGCGCCCCTGCGCCGCTCCAGCGGCGCACGCAAACACCACGCAAAAACACCACGCAAAGACTCCCCGCTCCACAACGTAAACCGCGACCTGCCCCACTGCGCTCCTGGGGTGCTGCAGCGGCGCTGCAGCGGGCTGCAGCGGCGCTCCAGCTGCGCTCCTGCGCCGCTCCAGCGGCGCACGCAAACACCACGCAAAAACAACACGCAAAAACACAACGTAAACCGCGACCCGCCCCACTGCGCCCCTGCGCCGCTCCAGCGGCGCACGCAAACACCACGCAAAAACACCACGCAAAAACACCACGTAAACCGCGACCTGCCCCACTGCGCCCCCGCGCCGCTCCAGCGGCGCACGCGAACACAACGCAAAAAAAACACAACGTAAACCGCGGCCTGCCCCACGGCGCCCCTGCGCCGCTCCAGTGGCGCACGCAAACACCACGCAAAAACACCACGCGGAAGCAAAAAAAAAACACCCCGCAAACCGCGACCTGCCCGACGGCGCTCCGGCGCCGCTCCAGCGGCGCACGCAAACACCACGCAAAGACACCACGGAAACCGCGACCTGCCCCACGGCGCCCCTGCGCCGCTCCAGTGGCGCACGCAAACAACGCAAAAACACAACGCAAAAACACAACGTAAACCGCGACCTGCCCCACTGCGCCCCTGCGCCTCTCCAGTGGCGCACGCAAACACCACGCAAAAACACCACGTAAACCGCGACCCGCCCCACGGCGCTCCGGCGCCGCTCCAGTGGCGCACGCAAGCACCACGCAAAAACACCACGCAAAAACACCGCGTAAACCGCGACCTGCCCCACGGCGCTCCGGCGCCGCTCCAGAGGCGCACGCAAACACCACGCAAAGACACCACGTAAACCGCGACCTGCCCCACGGCGCTCCCGCGCCCCCGCGCCGCTCCAGCTGCGCACGCAAACACCACGCAAAACACACACAACGTAAACCGAGACCTAGCGGCGCACGCACACACAGCGCAAAAACACCACGTAAACCGCGACCAGGGGCGTTGCAGCGGCACTGCAGCGGCGCTCCAGCTGCGCCCCTGGGCGCCCTGGCGCCGCTCCACGCATAGCAAAAAAAAAGCACCACGTGAACCGCGACCTTCCCCACTGCGTCCCCGCGCCGCCCCAGCGGCGCACAAAAACACCACGCAAAAACACCACGCAAAAACACCACGCAGAAAAACACGCCGCGTGAACCGCGACCTGCCCCACTGCGTCCCCGCGCCGCCCCAGCGGCGCACAAATACACTACGCAAATACACCACGCAAAAACACCACGCAAAAACACACCACGTGAACCGCGACCTGTCCCACGGCGCTCCGGCGCCGCCACAGCGGTGCAAAAAAACACCACGCAAAAACACCACGCAAAAACACCACGTGAACCGCGACCTTCCCCACTGCGTCCCCGCGCCGCCCCAGCGGCGCACAAAAACACCACGCAAAAACACCGCGCAGAAAAACACGCCGCGTGAACCGCGACCTGCCCCACTGCGTCCCCGCGCCGCCCCAGCGGCGCACAAATACACTACGCAAATACACCACGCAAAAACACCACGCAAAAACACACCACGTGAACCGCGACCTGTCCCACGGCGCTCCGGCGCCGCCACAGCGGTGCAAAAAAACACCACGCAAAAACACCACGCAAAAGCACCACGTGAACCGCGACCTTCCCCACTGCGTCCCCGCGCCGCCCCAGCGGCGCACAAAAACACCACGCAAAAACACCACGCAAAAACACCACGCAGAAAAACACGCCGCGTGAACCGCGACCTGCCCCACTGCGTCCCCGCGCCGCCCCAGCGGCGCACAAATACACTACGCAAATACACCACGCAAAAACACCACGCAAAAACACACCACGTGAACCGCGACCTGTCCCACGGCGCTCCGGCGCCGCCACAGCGGTGCAAAAAAACACCACGCAAAAACACCACGCAAAAGCACCACGTGAACCGCGACCTTCCCCACTGCGTCCCCGCGCCGCCCCAGCGGCGCACAAAAACACCACGCAAATACACCACGCAAAAACACCACGCAGAACAAAAAAACACGCCGCGTGAACCGCGACCTGCCCCACTGCGTCCCCGCGCCGCCCCAGCGGCGCACAAATACACTACGCAAATACACCACGCAAAAACACCACGCAAAAACACACCACGTGAACCGCGACCTGCCCCACTGCGTCCCCGCGCCGCCCCAGCGGCGCACAAAAACACCACGCAAACACACCACGCAAAAACACCACGCAAAACCGCTACGTGGTGTTTTTGCGTGGTGTTTTTGCGTGGTGTATTTGCGTGATGTCTAATTCACCCTCCAGCGTTCGCGTGGTGTTTTTGCGTAGTGTTTTTGCGTGGTGTATTTGCGTGGTGTTTTTGCGTGGTGTCTGATTTCACCATTAGGATGAACTCTCGCACAGGGCGGTGCATGCCTTGACAGGCCTCCTGCACTGTCTGGCGCCCGAGCGCGCCCAGGGCGGTATTTGTGCAGGAGGGCCTCGGTCTGATTCGGGTAGTAAATCCTTGTCTGGCGGGCGCCAACTTGCACTCGAGGAGGACACGTTTGCAATTTTCGTTCCATGGAGGCCCGCCATTGACTTCGGAGGCCGTCAAGAAACGACTTCGGATTCCACGCTGGCCTGGCCTGGATGACCCCGGAAAGGGTCCAGGACCGATTTTAGTGGAGTTTGGTCGGAGCTGGGGATCTGCACGATTAGAATTCGCGTCTTGCTGCGGGCCTCTTTTCTGTCCCTATAAGCACAGCCAGCTTGCGGTGGGGAACGAGGCTTGCTGCTGGCTTGCTCGTTTTGACACCGCCACACTGCTGGTTGCGACGGGGGGAACTCTCTCCGCGGCCTGCCGACAGACCGCGTTTAGCACTGAAGCACTATAGCGTAGGATGAGGGAACGGGGCACTGCAGAGGACGTCTCGGCGAGCCACCAGATCTTGCCAAAGTCTTGCGCATCGCTTGCTTGAGAAATTCCGCCACGGTCTTGCTTTACACGGGCGCAGAAGCGCCTAAGTGCGTTTAGCCGTCTCCGAGGCCAGGTGGCGGTTAGTGGACGAGCGCAGATTCGGAATTCGTAGAGGGTTGTCATGAGTACAGATGCACGTCTTGCAGGGCGTTAGGTTTTGCTCCAACCAGTGGGCTCGACTGGCCCTGAGGCAACCCTCATGTGCTGCCCGGCCTCACAACGAGGGACCGGTGTATTCCCATAGGCCACGATTCGCTGCACGCGCTCGCCAGTTCGTGCCGCGTTCCTGGTTTGTCTTGCGTTTTTCGTTGCATCTTGTTTTGCCAGCCACATTAAAACCTTCCCCTTCCTTCGACTAACAGAAACAAACACCAGTGGCACAGTATTGCTTTGTGGTGGGTTCTCAGTGCCACATGTTTTTGCAACAAGGTCGATTGGATGACCGTGGTTTGTAATCCTCGAGTGGGTGACGCTGGCGCACCAGATGCCAGCTTTTCTTTTCGTCTTCGGAAAATGAAGCGGTGGACAACACATACGATCATCCAGTGGAGCTAGCGGCTAGGGGTAATTCAGATATGGTTCTGTAAGCGCAAGGACAAAGCACGATAGGTGCTTTGCCCTTGCGCTCGCACCGAAGTGCTTGCACCGCTGCTCATTCCTCAACAGAAGATGCGTGCTCGCATCGATGCCACATAGCACTGCCCAACTATTTTTTTGTGTACTTGGCCTACCGCCACATCCAGCATGTATGTCTTGGATGACGGTGGTGCACACATTCACATCCATCTATCTGTGTACATGTAAATGTTCACACATTTGTACGCGTAGTTGTACACATTTGTG